TAATTAAATATACGTATTTAAATATAACAATAATATAAATATGTATTTGTCTTGTATTAGGGATATTCTGACAGTCATTTACTTTACCAAAAGTAAATTTCTGAAAGAAAAGAATGACTGAAGAGATTACAAATAATAATTAAATATACGTATTTAAATATAACAATAATATAAATATGTATTTGTCTTGTATTAGGGGTATTCTGACAGACGTGTTAAAAATATATTTTTTTATCTGTTGCAGGAGTAGGCAACAGATTACAAGGGCTATTTTGGAGAACGAATTCCTTGGTAATCTCGAAGAGAATCAGGTGGAAGCGCTAGTTTCTGCTATGTACCCGAAACAAATACCACCGAATACTTTAGTGATTCGAGAGGGAGATATAGGTAATGTTATAGTCTTCGTTTCTCTACATTAACGCGTTGGATTTTTCTCCTATAGGACGAAATATTTAATTCTTATAAAATATTGTGTTACAAAAGTAAAAGTGAAAAATTAAATATTTAAAATAAAATACTTTTGACATATAATTTAGGATCACATCTATACGTATCGGCAGAAGGAGAATTCGATATTTATCAGGGTAACAAGTTTCAAAGAAGTTTTGGCCCTGGTGTCGCCTTCGGCGAGATTGCTTTATTATACAATAGCAAAAGACTTCGAACTATCAGCGGTAAGTACAAATTATAATATATAATAAATTATAATATTATATTGAAAGAAACTGTGCTTAACTCTTAGTGAAAAAGGGTGGAAAAGTATGGGTGCTCGACCGATCCGTGTTTCTCACTGTGATGATGAAAACAGCCCAGGAAAGGCTGGAAGGGAACGTTCGATTCCTTCAACGAGTTTCTGTCCTACAAAAATTACCAGAACCGAAAGATCATGTGCTTGCTAAAATCTCTGATCTTATCCGCGTGGTAAGTACACATTATATATAGTGCGAATGTTTATCTATTGCAGGAAACTTAAAAGTAAAAGTAAAAATGTACAGAATATAAGCAATATACAAAACTATCTAAAATGTTCAAAATAAAACGGGAATAATAACATTTAAACATTTAATCTCTGAGTTTGAAGAGATCTCTGCTCCCGTCTTATATTTTTAATATAGAAAGGTATCTAAAATATTGCAAAAACGTATATAAAATATAAGCAATCGGTATAGTATTTAGTAAAATATGTTTCATTTAGTGGATGAAACAATCCTGTTTTTTTTTTTTTTTTAGATTTTACTTGCATTGATAAAAATAATACTACTAATAATTATTCGAATGCAATAACTCTAAAGAAGTGACTCTTTCTCTTCTAAGAAGTATCTTTTCAATAGGAATTTTATCCAGCTGGAGCGAAAATAGTTAAACAAGGAGAGAAAGGCGACAAATTTTACATAATCAGCGGTGGAAATGTTAGGATAACGAAAGACACCCCAGATGGTGGCGAAGAAGAATTAGTGGTCCTTGGGAAGAGTCAATATTTCGGAGAAAAAGCTCTTTACGATGATACCGGTGAAAATCGACGACATGCTAATGCCATTGCACTGGCTCCTGGTGTTGAGTGTTTGACATTGGATCGACAGTAAGTTATATATCAATAATGATAAGGAATTAAATTTATTTTCAATTAATAAAAATTGAATTAACCCTTTGCCTTGCCGATTTTCTTTTCGTCAATCTTCTGATGTCTTATTATAATTTGTTACATCGTGCCAAGTATGAAAGTATCGAAATATAATTTACATTTCATAATCTTGAATTAAGTATTAAAATAAAATTAGAATCTGGCTTCTCTTTTAAACCCGAAATTGTAATTCGTACCATAAAAGTAACTCAATACTATAACTGATTAATAAAGTAATTAAAATGAAATTTCAGATCATTCCTGAATTATTTAGGTGGTCTCGACGAAATTCGCAATAAAGACTGGCTGCAGGAGTACGAAAAGCAGAAACAATCCCTGACATTAAAGAAATGGACTAACGAGTACTCGAACGTCACTTTGGCTGATTTAGAGACAAAAGGTACCTTAGGAGTTGGTGGGTTTGGCAGAGTGGAATTGGTCATTCTAAAGTCAGACTCTGAAAAGAGTTTTGCTCTGAAGAAACTGAAGAAGAAAGTAATGGTCGAGCAACAACAGCAGGAACACGTGTTGAATGAAAAACACATTATGCAAGCCTGTGATTCTCCGTTTATATGCAAGTTAGTATTAGAAAGAATCTATGTTAACAAAATGGATGTTTATTGTAGATCTAAAGGTATAATTCTGTAATGTTTATTTTATATCGTTCGTATCTCACTTATACTTAGATCTATATTAATTTCTTTCAATTTAATTTATAAATTGTGATTCTGTCAACATCTTAGTATAACGCTATAATGTTTAACTCGAAATTTTAATTTATCTAATTCATAGTATTTAGTGGACGAAACATAGATCCTTGCTAAAACAAAAATATAAATTTGCATGAACTTCCTTTTCATTTAGACTCTACCAGACGTACAAAGACAGCAAATACGTGTACTTCCTGATGGAAGTGTGCCTAGGTGGAGACGTATGGACAACCCTCCAAAGGAGAAGATACTTCGATGACTCGACTGCACAGTTCATGATAGGATGCGTGGTGGAGGCACTCGATCATCTTCATTCGATGAACATCGTTTATCGTGATTTAAAGCCAGAGAATCTAATGCTCGATACACGTGGATACTTGAAACTAGTAAGTTCAATCAACAGAAACTTAAAGGAAGTTGATATTCAGTTTCACAGAAGAACAAATAAAACGTAACTTTGTAAACTTTTGCTAGGTTGACTTCGGTTTCAGTAAAAAGATTGGACCATCCAAGACGTGGACGTTCGCTGGTACACCTGAGTATGTGGCGCCAGAGATTATTTTAAACAAGGGGCACGATAGGTAAATAATTTAATATAATAAATGTAAAAAAAATTAAATGGTAACGATTTGTAAAAAAAATAATGAATGAGAAGTGAAAAAAGAGGATAGAAGATAAACAAATAATAGAATAATAAATATGAAATATTAATAGATAAATGTAAAACATTCTAGAAAATAATTATAAAATATTCAACAAAAAAAAAACAATATATATATATATATATACTGGACTGAGTTAGGAAACATGATGGAGGTGAGTCTAAGATAAGTTTAATTTATTTAAAGGGCGGTGGATTACTGGGCACTCGGGATTTTAACTCATGAACTACTCATTGGTAAACCACCATTTCGAGGTTCCGACCACATGTCAATTTATAATAAGATTTTAAAGGGTATCGAGGTAGTTGGAATACCTAACTCCATTAGCAAAAACGCCAGTAGTCTCATCAGGAAACTTCTTCGTCTAAGTCCCTCTGAACGTCTTGGGTACCAAAGAAATGGCATCCAGGACATTCGAGACCACAAGTAAGTTTATTAAATGACTTGGAATAAAGCCTATCAAATTCAATTTACTCGGATGAAGAAACCTATAAAATAATTATTTAATTGTCTTTCTTCGATCCTTTTTAACAAAATAATATTCTTTCTGACAGATGGTTCAACGGATTTAATTGGCATGCCTTGCAAAGATTAACTTTGCCAGCGCCGATCGTTCCAACGGTACGTAAAATCCCTTTTAAATTTCCTATTTCTAAAAAATATATCAATCTCTAAGCAAACTTACTAGTTCAATAAAATCTCAGGTACGAAGTCAGATCGACACGAGGAATTTCGAGAGATACCCGCCAGACCGTAATGTTCCGCCAGACGAGTTCTCTGGATGGGACGCGAGCTTCTAAAGAGAGAAGAAAAACAACGCAATAATCAGTTTGTCCACACGTACATCATTTGTCCATTAATCGAATGATAAGAGTCATGAAATTGTAGAAAGAGGGGACAAGGTGACAGATGTTATTAATGAAGGAACATCGAATAAAAGTGTATCGATAGCTAAATAATTATCATTATCTCTAATCGATTTGTACACTGCAGACCAATAATTTCTTATTTATACCTGTTATATTCGAAACACTGATATATCCACACTAACTAATCTTGTATCTTCCGATTGAATTGTAATTAATTAACAATTTATGTAACGAGTGTTCAAGTATTCGTAGGAGGATTAGTAAGTAACAAAATGATACTCTGCGATCGACAATAATTGTAACTATAATAAGTTTAACGTTACCAGTTAACAATAAATTTATACATGAGTTGCTAGAATGTGTTAATCATCTCTGATATGAAATTTCACTAGATTACGTACATATACAGAATGTGAATAGAGGGTTGTATAATTTCGAAAAATATTGTAACTTATGATCTTCCTCGATAAAATCATTTTTTTTTTTCGAGTTTTCACGGTCATCTGTATTTTTAATGACGATGACACATTATAGAGTTACGAAATGACATACTGCATTAACATAAGCATTGTCGTGTCATAGAGTGAGTTCGCCGAGAAAAATACTGATAATAAACCTTCGGAAAAAATCCATTCATTCGATAGACACTTTCGATATCACTGCACTTATCGAACAATCTATGGTTACACTGACAGATTATCGTTGCATTCACGCAAGATAAGATCAATTTTAATCAAGTTAATGAATTATCTAAACACTAGTTGATTTTCAACCATCTGTGCTCAAGTACGAACAATCGATCTCTGATTATTTGTGAATTTTTCTGAAATTGTCATCCATTCCAGAGAACACTCTCTAAACGACATAATAAAATTTCTATCTTGTACAGAATTACATTAAGTGAAGTACAATTGAAAGTTACGTTTGGGGCAAAATTTTACCACTCGAGCGTGAAAGAGAACCAGGAAGATGTATTTTCTGTGCTTGAAAAGAAGTACTCGACAGAATCTCAACGAACAAGCGCTCGTTCAACGCAATTCTGACGCTTATTATCGACAATTGTCCCAGCAAAGGAAACACGGTGTTATCGGCGAAATAAACGTGTCCTCCAGCACATCGATCACCGTTTTCAAGAAAGATGAAAAGTGAAGCAATTTTAAACTATTCTTCCGCCAGTAACTTTCTAACTTGCTATCGAGAACAAGGGATCGAGCACCTCACGAGTAGAATCGAATCTTCGATCGTTGAACTCAATCATTGAAACGTTCATATTTTCAATGACACTTGAATCTAAAGCAAGATAATTTCGAATGTTTCATAAGTAATTATATTTTTAAGTAGACTTGAACATTGAATTTTTAAAGCAGAATTTCCTACAAGCATCTGTCAGCATCTATTACGTTTTTGACCAAACAAAGCATTGTCCTGTAACTCTTATTTATCTTTATTGCCAGAATTCCCTCTAATTATACTGAAATATTGCAATTGAAATTAATGAATTGTTGCAAATATGGATTCGTAAATACATAGTGGACTCGATCCCTGCTGAATGCAATAAATTCACGTTTCGTGTCGCTTGTAGGACGAAAAAACTGATAAGAAACGCGATTTTAAGCAACAAGTTCCTCGAAGATCTCGACGAGTCGCGAATAGAGAAACTCATTTCGGTGATGTATCCACAAGAAGTAAGAGTCAACACGCGGATCATTCACGAAGGTGAAACTGGTGAGTGATCATCTTTTGAAATGACGAAATATCAGTCAACAACGAAATATAAACTCTGGTCGTTGTCCATTGGGACCAGGATCCCATTTGTACGTTTCGGAAGAGGGAACCTTCGAAATTTACGTAGGCAACACGTATTACGGAAGCTTTGGCCCTGGCGTCGCCTTTGGAGAACTGGCCTTGTTGTACAACACCAAGAGACAGAGTTCAATCCATGGTAAAATAGACCTTGAAATCTCTTCCATAAAAGAATTACTTTAACATATACTCGAATGGTATCGTTGGGTTGTAGGTGGACTAAAATTTAAAATATTCTATAATATTCTAAAAATATTCAAAGTGATTTCAGTGATCAAATTAACCCTGTTCAATTTCAATTCAATTTCTCTAAATTAAAAAGTCTCTCAAATTTAAAGAAAATATAAAGAAATTCCTTTGCTAGCCAAACTGAATGTAAGACTGAAGTATAAAAATTTGAGGACCGTAGCAGGGTTAAATTAATTAATTTAACCCAAAAGTATTAGGATTCCCGATAACCCAACTTAAAAGTTACAATCTTTCGTATTATCTCGTATTAAAAATATGAAACACTCGTTTGTTCCTTTAGCAAGTACAAATGGGAAATTATGGGTGTTGGAGAGATGCGCGTTTCAAGCGATAATGTTGAAAAGCAACGAAGAATCGTTGGAGCAGAATTTAAAAATTCTCCGCCAGATTGATATCTTCAGAGAACTACCGGAGGAGATTCTTCTGAAAATATGCGATCTTATAATGGTGGTGTGTATAAAACGCTACCTCGGAATTAGAAAATACTACTTCTATGTATATTCCTGTGTACTTCAGGAATTTTATCCAGCAAACACGTACGTGGTTCGAGAAGAAGAAAGGGGGGATAAGTTCTACATTATAAACGGTGGAAGCGTGAGAATCACGAGGAATAGATCAAGCGGCATGGAAGAGGAGCTAATGATCCTTGAAAAGGGTGACTATTTCGGTGAAAAGGCACTGTACTCCGAGGAGTTTCGTCGACAAGCGAATGCCATCGCAATGGCTCCTGGACTGGAATGTTACACTATTGAAAAAAAGTAAATCTCAAGTTCAAGAAGTTTACTTTTTCGAGTAAAAAGATCTCGATGGAAAATTTATAATTCAAGGACATTTATGCAAATTTATTATAGAATTTGTAAACTTTTAAACGAGGAGTTTCTTTGATGTTACAGAGCGTTCCTAGATTATCTCGGTGAATTGGATTCGATCAAAAATAAAAATTGGTCAGCATATCAAAGTGTAATCGAAACGGATGAATGGGATGACGAGTTTAAAAAGATAACTCTGCCTGATATTGAATCTGAAGGAATACTCGGAACTGGGGGTTACGGCAGAGTGGAGCTGGTTGTTGTCAAGTCGATCGCTAATATTAGTTTTGCCAGGAAAAAGGTGGAGAAGCATATGATCACGCAGGGTGGCTTTCAGAAAATGATTTACAATGAGAAGAATAATTTGAAACTGTGTGATTCACCATTTACCTGCAAGTAAATTAACTCTCCTTTAAAATAAATCTTCCTCTAGTAAATATAGAATAAGCAATTTTAATTTCCAAGGAAGAAGAAAACTAAATGTAATAATTGAAAATATAATAATTTCAGCAAGGATTTCACTTTTAATTGTTTCTAGATTTTTCAAAGGTAAAATATGTAATATACAATCAAAATATGTTCAATATATAATTTATATTTTATATCTGATATATAATTTATAATTTAAAGATTATAAATCATGATTCGAAGACAAACCTTTCCAAACATTTATAAATTAAACAGTCATTAGGTGAAATTTTCTTCTTTTTTAATGTAAAATTATTTATTCTATACTTGTAAGAAACTTATTGGAAACTTATTAAATGAAACACGATTCTACGTTCCTTTTAGATTATACAAAACCTTTAAAGACAAAAGATACCTATATTTCCTGTTGGAAGCGTGTTTAGGAGGAGATTTAAGAACAGCCTTATATAGACATGGTCGATTCAATAATTCAACAACTCGATTCGTAATCGCTTGTGTCATAGAAGGTCTTCGACATCTCCATTCACTGGGCATCATTTACAGAGATCTAAAACCTGAGAACATCGTGATCGACAGTCGAGGCTATGCGAAACTTGCAAGTTTTTTTTTTGGTTTCAAATAAATTTATTCATTAATTCCATTTCCTTTACAGACTGATTTTGGCTCCAGTAAAAAGATTGGTCCTTACAAGACGAAGACTTTTATGGGTACACCAGAATATTTGGCTCCAGAAATCATTCAAAGTAAACTTTACGATCAGTACGCATTTTCATGTCCAATTAGATATTTATTAATAATTGCTGATTTGAATAATTGATTGCATTTTTTTTTTTTTTTTTTTTATAAATGAAGAGCTGTCGACTATTGGGCTCTTGGGATTCTTACGTACGAAATGTTAACAAATCGAACGCCTTTTCAAGATGTAAATGATATCGAAGTGTATAAAAATATTCTTCGTGGCTTTAAAGACGTGGTTATACCATCCATCATTAAAAGCGCGGCGAAGAGTTTCATCAAATCTCTATTACAAGATGATCCATATAAAAGACTCGGTTGTTTACGATACGGTGTTGCCGATATTCATAATCACAAGTATTTATTATTAATCTATTATTATTATATTTATTATATCTTTATTATTATTATCTTCATTATTATTATATTTATTATATAAGATATATTTATTATATCTTTATTGTTAATCTATCGAATGTATTATTAATACAAAAAAAAATTTATAGAATATTTATTAATGTATAATTTAAATCCTGATGAACTACATATTTTAAATTAATTTCAGGTGGTTCCATCACTTTAACTGGCAAGAATTACAAAATCAAACAATGCTTTCCCCTATTGTCCCAACGGTATATAAAAAAAATGATCAGAATATTATATTATTTTTGAAATAATTAACCTTTAATTACCGATTCATTTACAGGTGAAAAATCATCTTGATTTAAGGAATTTCGATAAATATCCTCCAAACTATAAAGCTGTACCAGCTGATTTTTCCGACTGGGACACAAATTTCTAATAACCTATGTGTGCAATTAACTTTGTGTGTGTGTGTGTGTGTGTGTTAGGTTAGGTTTAGATTCTACTATTATTTAATGCACTATCCCTTAATTTTTATTTTTCGACCATATTCAAAATATACCTTTGTATTGTTAATACTGTTAACCAAAGATATAATATAATAAAAAGAATAGTTAGAAATTGTAAAGAAAGATCAATTTAAGGAAAATATAATTAAACATACATACTTCAGACATATATCCGAAGCGCAAATTTCAAATTAACCAAATAACTACGAATAATCGTAATTCATTAGATTATTAGATATTACTTGTTAATAAGTTACGAAGGAACTAAGAAACAATGTAATCACATCACAAATACCACACAAATATTACGTTTCTGTTAGAAAAAAATACTCGGATGCTTGTTAATACGGCTCATCACCCTTTTTAAAATATGAAAACTAACTTGGCATTGCGCAAAGAACGCCGTTAACTTCAGGTGGCGCACGATTTGCTGCACTCCCGTGCAAATAACCTTGTTACGCTGTTGTTCTAATGGTGAATATACAAATTTATATAATAAATAAATCACGGCTGGCAAAATATATTATTAATTACGTTGTTACACGGATAACATATACATCATAAAATAATACACGTCATTTCATTTGTAATCAATAAAGATAAGACTTGATAATATACGTCGTATTGAATTACACTGCGAAAGAGGAAAATACGCATATTTTTAATAATGTCTACAGCTAACTGTAATAGTGAAATGTAAATAACATAGTTATTTGTAATGTGTTTCAATACGTTGATAAATACCGCTTGGTTATTAATGGTGACAGGACCTAACTTAACATGAGGTGAAACTAGGTTTATAAAAATTCCATTTGATATTGCCTGATAGCATTTTGCAAGAATACTGCATGATGGAAGCTCACGAGAATGAACAATATGTTACATTTCCCCTCTCAGGAGTACATGATGGTATACAAGATAATATTATATCTCATGAAGAGATATGTGAACCTGTTGACGAATGTGTTTTACAAGAAGGACTCACTGAGGTATCTGTTACAGATGTTAATTCTAGTATTACAGAAGCACAAGTTGCAGTTGAGATTTTAGCTGAACATTCCGATGAGGAAGATGAAAATCGTGTAGTATATCCTATATATATTAAACAAGAAGAACAACAGCAATATACATCTGGAGATGACGAATCGATGGCTGTGGAAGCCCTCCGACAACTTGGGGGCATGTATCCTTGTTTTGAAGATAAAAAAGTATCTTGTCCGCATTGTGCAAACCTTTTCACACAAACTGAGATTGCGAAACATCATACTACCTGTTCTGCTAATAAATTATCATGTGTTACTTGTGGAGAAAGATTTGAAAGAAAGATAGATTTAAACAACCACATAGTTTGTCATCAAGTAGATCGCCCACATGCTTGCAGAACTTGTGGCAACTTATTTCGTTCAAAAAATAATTTAAGGTGCCATATGTTGCAAGTACATCAAGTAGAAAGACCTCACAAGTGCACCATATGTGGAGCAGATTTTCAGAGGCCTTCTAGTTTATCCAATCATATGAAAATTCATACATATGTCGCTGGACGTGCCATTATGCAGTCACAGGGTAATAATGTATCACAATCAGAAACATTCAGAAAATGGCCTGAAAATATGACAGAATCTCAAAACAATCAAGTGCCATCTTCATCTGTTCAAACAGTTCAAAGTTATGAGACTGTTCAATGGACAGTACCATCTTATAACTTTCAAAGTGAACAGACAGCAGTTAATACAATATCCAACCCTGAAGAAAAAATAGATACTTTACATGAATTTACTGTAATGCCAAATGGAGAAGTGACACAATTTGAATATACGCAACAAAATAATATAAATACTCAAGTCAATCAACAATACAATCTTTCATTAAACTCATTTAATAATGCTGATACAATGGTGAAAGTTGAAACTTTACCATATAATGAAGATAGAAAAAATTATATAGACGTTGAAACAAATGATACAAAACAGCATACTTGCAGACATTGTGGAATTAGTTTTTCTCGTGCAACGGCACTAGTGTCCCATGAAAAAATTCATGCATCTAAGAATTGGAACATGCCAATTGAATGTGAATATTGTGATAAACAGTTTCAAGATGGCAATCATTTAGCAACACATCAAACAACTTGTGCAAAGAGACTGATGCAAAGTAATGTGGAACAAGGTATATCTAATAATAAGTGGGGTAAACATGCATGTTCTGAATGTGGTAAAAAATTTACAACCAAACAAAAAATGTTTAGACATCAGTGGATTCATAGAAAGAAAACACATTCTTGTGAAGTATGTGGATCCCAATTTGAAAAACAAAATCAATTGGATGAACATAGATTATCAGCACATCCTGGTGACTCTCCATTTACTTGTACAGAATGTGGTAAAAGTTTTGTATCACGTCAAGGGCTCTGGGAACATGGTAGAACACATGCTGGGAGTCCTGCGCATTTTCATTGTGATACATGTTCCAAAACATTTTCATCGAGACAAGGATACTTAATACACCATAGGACTCATACTGGGGAAAGACCATATGGTTGCAAGTTTTGTTGGAAAGCATTTAGAGATGGTGGGACATTAAGAAAACATGAACGTATTCACACAGGAGAAAGACCTCATGTTTGTCCTTTATGTTCAAGAGCATTTAATCAAAAAGTTGTTTTAAGAGAACATGTTCGATGGGTTCATGCAGCAGGAAAAAACGAAACTGAAGTAACTGGACCTCCTTTCTCATGTCCTATATGTGGTGCTTTAAATCAAGATCGGGATGAACTATGTGCGCATATTGTTAAACATTCAGACCAAATGATTGCAGAAGCAAAAGCTAAAACAAACAATAATGCTCCAAAAACCAAATCAGTTAAGAAAAAATCAAAAGCCTCTGCAAGTACAAGTTTACAAGAAAAACAAGGCACTGGAAGTCGTATAATTACTAAATCAGAGGAAAATGAAGCACTTTTATCTATTACAGAAACAGATAAATCAGATGACCAACAAATTTTAAGTGATAAACAAAATAATACTTTTCTTGTTGTTACTACAGAAAAACGTAATGAAAATTATATTTCAATATCTGAACTTAAAACTGAGGATGTACAATTATTAGTTGATGAGAAACATGAAGTAGAAGATATGCATATTTCACAAACTAATCATAACCATAGAGAATCTTTAAATACAAGTCATATAGTTTCTACAGAGCAAGAAAGAAGTGCACTTCACACAAGCAGTCATAATGAAATAACTACAATGCATTTAATACAAACTTCAAAGCAAGCAAATACTTTACATTTAATATCAAAACAAAATGAATCATTACCCGTTCTAACATTACCAAATTCTCAAAGCCATGAAAACTTTCCCAGTCAAATTGCACAAATAAGTAATAATGACTTACCTATGAACATGGTAACTCACCATTCAACTAGACAAAGTCAAGATATCAAAGCTGAAGTTGTAGAGGAATCATTAATACAAGAAGGAGGATCGCAAACGGCTGTAATACAGATTGTACAATATCATCAACAAGACAGTGATGATGGAGAGGAATTAGTTTGTGGTATTTGTGGAGAAGATTTTAATGACAAAAATGTATTAATGGAACATGTTAAAATTCACATATAATTATTGTTACTTTATTAATTTCCAAGTTTGTGATATTCTTATGCTATTAATGTGGCTATGTAGAAAATAACAAATTCAAATATTTCTTATGTTCTCGAAAGAAAGAAAAAAATATTAAACATAACTCTAAGTATTGTTTTAAATAGTTGTAGTAAAGCACCAATTTTCTATGTGTCTTACAAATGCACACTGATATTGAAAAGAAACAGGGAATTTCAATGATATTTATACATTTTTAATTAATTAATTTGTTTTTGTTTCTTCAAAATGCTTTTGCACCTTTAGGTCATATATTATACACATGGTAAAATAATGTATATTATTTAAAATAAAATATAGATAAAGATTTATATATCATCTAAAGCACATTACTGATTATCTTAAAACATATCGTAAAACAAACAATCTTAAGATTATATAGTTCTCCTTTGAATTGTTTAGAACTTGACTTCAGCTGTCATTTTTCGATACGTAAATTATAATTGAGCCAACGTGACACTTAAAAATGTAGAATGTGAGGTGCAATAAGAAAATAAAGTACATTTTATTTTCTACATTTATTTCATATTAAGACATTTTTTTTAAATACCGAATTATACTTTGTCCTTCATCCTTCATATTTATATTATCGCGCGCTTTGCTAAAAACGTGGTTTATCACGTGTCATTACCGGAACCAAATACAAGTACGCATTATTTTGTAAAGTAAACACTTGTAATACAATTGTTAATGTAAATTTAGTTGGTTCATAACGTGTTGTGTAATTGCCATAAGTCTTTATTAAATCTACAAAGCAGTTAAAAAAAAGTAAGTATTAATATTTAAGAAAATACAAATAATACGTAATAATTACTTGTTATATATTATAATAATATTATTTATATAAAAACTTCTTTATCATATATCTACAGATATAATAATTTTACACATGTATTGACATGTATTTTTAATATTTTCAAATATTTCTTTAAACTTTATTTGACATTAAATACTAACCTATACTTAATAACCTATACTTCGCGTTTGTCTCGCATTTGTAACTCAAGGGAGCATTCGCAAAATGTTTGTGTCTCGTATTTAAACATAAAATAAAATAATACGTGACAAAAGTGTATCGCAGTTATATCAAAATAAGTTTATTCAAGTGTCGTTATATTGAGGTGGAGAAAAATTCACTTCAATAACAAATTTATTAACCTTAAACGTAAATATTCGCAAGTTGAAGAGGTTATGTTGCCGCTTCGTCGTTTTCATTGACGAATAACTTAAGAGATAAACAATACCCCAATTATCCCAAATAAGGAAGTTTCAAAGTATTAAAAGCTTTTAATCAAAAAATATAAATATGCCAACTTGGAATCAAATCCAAACACAACTTCGAAATCCGAATAATCCAGTGGTATTCTTCGACGTGTCTGTAGGCACTACAGAAATCGGACGAATGATCTTTGAACTCTTTGAAGATGTTTGTCCAAAAACATCGGAGAATTTTCGACAATTCTGTACTGGAGAATATAGAAAGGATGGTGTATCTTTGGGTTTCAAAGGTGCTATATTTCACAGAGTCATTAAGGATTTTATGATCCAGGGTGGTGACTTTGTAAATGGCGATGGTACTGGAGTCATCAGTATCTATGGTGGTGGAACATTTCCTGATGAAAACTTTACATTAAAACATGACTCACCTGGATTGTTATCCATGGCTAATAGCGGTAAAGATACTAACGGCTGTCAGTTTTTCATCACGTGTGCCAAGTGTAATTTCTTGGATGGTAAACATGTTGTTTTTGGAAGAGTTATCGATGGACTTCTAGTTATGAGAAAGGTAGAGAATGTTCCCACAGGCCCAAACAATAAACCAAAAATTCCTGTGACAATATCTCAATGCGGACAAATGTAACGATTAATTAATCAATTTATATTTTTATATGTAAATTAAATGTAAGGGACGTTATAAAAAGACTTGTTATATTTCTTCAGAATAAGGACAGTACTTTATAATCAAATATCCTTTTCCCCAGTTCAATATTTCAATAATTTTCTAATATATTTATATTTCAATAATCTATAATCGTAGTTTAAATTGTTAATTATGACTGTAATGATTTACTCCGCAGCTATTGGCATCTTACATTGGCCTCAGGTATCTTATAATTTCCCGTTAATAGGAATTGCCTATTAAGAGCTTGCCTATTTAATTGTATTTAAAAGTTAATGACATCCTAATCAACACGTTGATAACTTGGTCGAGTTAAAGGTACGATCGAAAATTTCCGATGCGATAAAAATGAAAGAAGTTGTTGTTTTACGAACTTCAATTTTATTACGTTAAATTTTACATACGAAATAAATAGTCACTAATATGATCTACATTGTATTGTACTGGATAAAAATCCAAACGCGTTTAAGATATCAATGCGGCTTACAACTCGAATCGATCTTCTCCAGAAGTAAAACACCCAAAATAAACACGTGTGTACGACAATGATCATAATCTAACATTATGATCATTATCGACTGAGAAAATTTCAACCGTAAACGTTTAGGTCTTCATTTCGTATCTAATTTGCAGTAATCTAATCGGAAGCTAATTCTTCATTCGTACATAATTCGTTTATGGAACAATTTAATGTTATATCTATTAATAGCCTAAGAGAGACAATCGATGTACTTAACAGTGAGTCTTATTTCTGCCTAGCTACGTTCATTTTTTTTTTTTCCTTTTTAATATGCTCTGAATTGTTACACGAATTGATAAACTGCTTATACTACGTACAATTATTTCTCTCCTATTTTATTCATGTTTTATCATGTTTGGTATGTTTATCATACCGTTTCTCAATTGCAAAACTAGGAAATAGTTTATTCGAATAATCATTCTCGTCAGCACATGATCTCTTGCTTTGGTTGATTGCGGAATAAATACGAAAATAAATTCCAGTTGCACTTACGTTGCATAAAATCGTGCGTGGAAAGACAAATTCCCAAACGATTTGCCAACTTCTTGAAAAAACGTTTCCACCAGTAAAAACCTTCTCGGCAAATAAGTCTATCAGCGTCTCAAACGATAGCCAGCGTGCAAAGCACCAGCTCGAGAACGCCCTTTCGAATATTCTTTATCAATCACACTCGATAAATATTCTCAGAATCCTTCTTTCTGTTTGGAAGAAGCTTATCTCGGTGCGCAAAATTTGCTCGTTCGCTAAAAAAAGAAGAAAAAGAAACAACAACAACACGATTCACGAAACTGTGATATTCCAAACGAGAAATCGGCCGGTTTCGAGAGCCATTCCTATCACATAAATCACGAATCATGTGGGTATCATCATCGGGATCGTCACGACCTGAAACAACATTACACCGATCATCATCGTTAGCAGCTCACGGCAGCGATAGCAGCTGGTCCCTCTTCTTAGGCACCGTGAGCTGTGGTGCGGTCTACCTGCTGTTGCAGAACACGTCTTCCTCAATGGTATCAACCTGCGAGTTATCGTCGACGACCATGATAGGTGTAGCGCCGTCGTGGAGGCTCGATTTCGAGATGGACCTTTTGTACACGTCCCTGGTCACGCTCCTGGTGAAGCTGAACTTTCGCACGAGCTTCTTGTCCAAGGCAGCGGGACTCTTTGGTCCCTTCGCCCTGAACTCGTCTTCTGTTCCTTCGTAATGAGCGAGCATCACTTCCGTCGCGTGTTCTTCGATCACGTCCATGGCGTAATCGATATCATCGTCGGTAGCGTTCTCCTTAATTACGCAGAATCTCAAAATATACTTGCCCATCACTCTAGCTGGGATCATATGAAGTCTACCGGATGCATTGATATTTGCCAAAAGTTCTTGATTGATCTCGTCGTTCTCTTTCAGTCTGAAGCAAACCAGACCGACTCTCACGTCGTTAGTGATCTCGAATCTCTTGTCCCTCCTCATCAGCGTCTCGAACCGTCTCGCTAGTCTGATATGGTTCCTTATATATTTCTGTAATCCTGTGATCCCGTACGACCTCATTACGAACCACAGTTTCAACGCTCTGAATCGTCTGCTCAAAGGGATCCCCCAGTGACGATAATCGATCGATTCGCCGGATCTAGCATGTTGAAGGTACAACGGGTCGACGACGAGCGCTGACGTGAGCTTCACTCGGTCCCGTACCCAAAGACAGGAACAGTCGAAATTGACGAGCAACCACTTGTTGGGATTCGTGTTGAACGAGTCTGCATGCTCGATGCCTGTCATCAACGGCCTCATTTCCGGGCAAATGAACGCGTTCCCGGCGTAAGCACCGTCCACGTGCAACCAAATGTTGGGATACAGTTTGCACACTGGTCCAATCTCGACTAGATTATCGAACGCGCAGGACCCGGTGGTACCAAGTGTGGTCGAGACAAAGAACGGGACCAGACCGTTCGCCACATCTTCCCGGATCGCGGATTCCAGTCGCTTACCTCGCAACGAGCCCTTCTCATCCGGCTCCAGAACTCGAAGCTTCACCAGACTGATCATTGCTGCCTTCTCGACGCAGGAATGGGCCTCCGTGGAACAATAGGCAACCAATCGTGGTAGAAAGGCCGAGTCCTCGGTGTTCGGGTCTTGCTCCTTCAAGGTTCGAATCGCCTGGGTTCGTGCCGCGAGCATAGTGACCAGAATACACTCGGAGGCTGAACCTTGTATCACTCCACCGCCTTTCGAGCTTTTGTGCTCGGCTAGGAACTCCGGCGGCAGGTCTATCGCCTTTGCGTACCAGTCGAGTACGATGGTTTCCAGTTCCGTACAGGCCGGGCTCGCCGCCCAAGAGAAACCTATGCAGCCGATTGCGTCCGACAGCATGTCGCCGAGGATCGAAGGGAACGAGTTGCCCGCTGGAAAGTACGCGTGAAAACGTGGATGCTGCCAGTGTGTGATCTGCAAACCATCCGTGTTCTCAACGTTTGCTTTTTTTTCACGCGGAAAGATTATTCATTTGTTTTATATATGTGTGTGTGTGTGAATTTTTTAATTTTGCATACGTGAATTTTAAAACTTTGAGGCAGGAGAGACAAGGAGAGAATATTGGAAGTAGGATGATTTCACGTGTCGGTTTTTTTTATGGTCGAGCGGGTTTTTCCTATTTTTTTTTTTTTTTTTTTTTTTTTTTAGTATTCGTGAATATTATTAATATGGAAAGAGGTCGGAATCAACGGAAGGGGGATCGATAAACGAAGCCCATAGTTGACACTCACCCCGGGCATTATTTTGCTGTCGACGTCCCTCATTATGGCATCCCATGATTCACCTTTCGCCGGAGCCTCTTTCGGTAGAAGGGGCCTTAAATAACCTGGGTCCACGTTCGCCGTCACCCTCTTCCCCTCCAAGGTGCGTAGGTACTCGCAAATATACTCGATCATCTCCTTGCCGCGTACTTGAAACTCATCGATGTTCATGATAATTGCTGGAATGTAATTCGAAGGAGAGACGGGCTAGTGCGTGCCAATGAGACTCATGTTTGATTAAGCACGTTCTCGGTTAAAGCGTGTGTACATGATCGTGACATTTTTCACCGCCATTTATCGGGACTACAGACGAAATAAAAGTCATTCGCAAGCATAAAGAAATACTTAGGTTGAAATACCTTCTCTATACGTGTTCTCTTTTCTTTTCTCTCTAGTTCTCTTTCTTTTCTTTTCTCTCTTTTCTTTTTCTCCTTCTTTCTCTTTTTTATGTGCGTTTCATTTCTCAACTCTCAGTCTACGATCTCGATTTACGTGTCTTTCGCTCGAATGTTTACTCTTTCAATTACCGGATGGAAGAAACCGACTCACTTCGATGATGTGTCACTCGAATACGTTTCTTCCTCTGGGAAATGAACTTGGAGATCGTCGTTTCAGTTGTTTCGAAGCACGATCCCACTTGCCGAGGAAACGCGTAACAAACGTCTGTCCCGCGTTGGAACCGAGACTGATGGCACCTGCCATAGCGCCGGTCAGTTTTATGCGCGCCTCCTCTTCGTACATCCCTGCCTCACGCAAATAAAATTAAGGCGGAGCTTCGCCGATCGTGAAAAATATTAATTTACCTGCTTCATTCTGGACACTTACGACACTGGCGTCTATCGTAGCTTATTACGCAAATGCTCGCGCGAAAAAAAAAAGGGATCACACCCCGTCGAAATTTCACACCCTCCAACTCTCGAAATTCGTCATACTTCCATGCTATCCAACTAATTTATCTCCCACGTGTGACGCGATAATTCGTTTCCATCACTTGTCTACACCGACACACTTGTATCTTTTCCATTAAAAAAAAAAAAAAAACAACACTGATTTAATTTTCGAAAAATTTCCAATTTTCGCACCCTCTTCGATATATTTTTAAACTAAATAAAAAATCCTCTAAAAAAAAAAAAAATCATTTAATCTCAAAATATCATATTTCAGTTATTCCTCCTCCAAAAGCAAAATAGAACGATAAAAAAAAATAATAACTTTATATCACGTTTCATATCAATTAATTCGTTTCGAGAGAGGCGTGTTTTGATAATTGAAAAACATCGACTGCGCCACCCGCGCAGTTAGTTGTTGCGTACCGATGCCAAAAATCTGAACGAAAATTCGCAAGAAGGGTGGTCGACATCAATGGTGATGTACCGAGGGGGTCGCTGCTTGAATAAGCGCCAGTATGTTGTCGATGATGCACGGGGAGTAAACTCTTCACCCCCTTCCTTCCCCCGTTTATAAATAGACGTTTACTCTTCACCTACATTTACAACACCCCGTAGAAGCGGTGACAGGTCACCGCTCAATCTTTGTAACACACACATGCAGACACATGGCGAACACCATTTTCTCTCTCGTCACCACCTTCACGCATGGTCTGCTCGTGACCGACGTTTTCGGATTGGATTCTCGATCGAGGGTGTCGGAACGATTGCCATCCAGTTCGTATTAATTAATCCCGCCGTCGATCCCCTTTTTTCCGCCGGCCATTGTCCATTTGACCGGCTACTGGGCGAAGTCGTCGATCAAGAAACGAGAACTACAACGAGCACACAATGAGAAAAATTGCCTTTCTTCGCGCGTGTTTATATCTTTGAGAATGTAATTTAAAAGACAGAAGACTTTTACAGAAGGAATGGAGGAAGAGCATGTTGGATAGGCCGTGGATTTTTGTGCAGAATATAATTTGAACTTTGCAGGGAATCGCTTTACCTGTCGAACATTATAAAAAAGCACTGGTATTTCGGATGCTTTGTGCATTCTACGTATAATGCATAAAAATCCGCAGTCTAACTATCGAATTGTTGTCGAATATCTTCGTTTATTATTGAATCAGTTTTAGTCAGTTAAAATTTTTCAGCCGTGTTGAAT